GAAAAAAGGAAAAAAAAAAAAAAAAGAACGCATTTAAAGTATACTCATTGTAGGTATAGGAAAAAAAAGACAAAAAAAAGATAAAATTATATCCTTTCTGGGCAGATCACCAAAAAGAAGCAATCCTTCTTACAAAGGTCAGCTCACATTCACTGGTAAAGTCAAACTTTCATAAATGGTTTATAACAATAGCTATAAACTAAAGTGCTTCAAAATTTGCTTGACTGGATCATAATATTCTGGATTTTTGCTAGTGTGAAATGCCATGAGATTTTTAGAATCACTTTATATAAGAAGGGCAGAATGAACATTTTCTTTTTTCCAAAGAAAAAGTACAAAAAGCTTTCAGAATACACCTTGCAGTCTATAATCACTACAAGTTGTTTACATTTTCCTTCTCAAGTCTACTATTTCTCCCATAACTGGACTGAAAATGGAGTTGAAGTAGCACTATACTGCTGCACTAAAAATAACTGTTCCAATTAGATGCAAACAGGAAAATGTTTACAATCATACAACTAGTGAAATTCACACTTCATTTCAAACTTTTAGCCCTGCAGATTCTCTTTAACACAAGGCAGATATGTAGATCATGGAAAAATGTAACAGACTGCTATACACTCTCTACATTAACTACATCAGTTTCACATTTATGTCACAAATGTAATGCCCTACTGTTTATCTATCAAATGCTAAATAACTTATGAACACTTATGTGCTCTATGCAACAGTGAACATATTGACCAGTGGATGCCAAAATATAAAAGTTCATACACAGGACAAACTAATTTAAAAAAGAAAAATCACATTTTCTGTACAACTCATGCAAACTGTGCACAATGTGGTAACAAGAACAACATCTGCTGAAGTCTCCATTTAAGGAAGAGCTTTTAGACCAATAGCAGACTGGTATTCAGAGAAGTCTGCAGAAGTACAGCAGTCCACGGCAACATAAAATGCAAAAATTCTTCCAGCATTTCACTTTTCTTGTAACAAAGCAGGGATATTGATGTTCCAGCCAATAGCCTGACGATCAAATCCACAGGTGAAGAGGTTACATATTGGGTGATCTTCACTCCAGGCGGAGCAGCACACCATTCTTCTGTGGCCCTACAACAGATCAGGAGATGTCAGTATTACTTACAACGTTTTTGAAAGCTTCTGTGTCAACAAATTGGCAAGAGTCAAAATGGAAACTTGCTAATGCTCTACATTTTCATAAATAGAATTTGCGAATCCTAAAGGTCATAGTTATTTTCATCTGCAAGGTAAAATCTTTCTGATAATGAGACTGCTTAATGCTGGCACTGGGTCCAAAAATACAGGAGCAAACAAACAGGAGTTCCAAAACTTGAGTTTTTCACAGTATGTCTGCTATCTAATTGGCATTTTATTTACAAAAGCAAACTGAAATTTTACCACTTTTGCTTATAAAAGCAACTTTAAAACTAGAAACAATTTGCTGGCAACAACTGTCTTATGAACCTGCAAGACGAAGTGTTGATTTTTCTTTCTGTCGATCGTGTTTGTAACTCAGAAAGGATAACAGTACAGTGGGAGGAATGTCCTACTGAGCAAGAATAATGCCCTATGCATTGTTCAATAGCAACCCCCAAGGAGGATTCTGACAAGTGCTCAAGTAAAACAAATAAATAAAAAAATCCTCCATTTCTGTTGTGTCAGCTTTAATGAATACTAAGGAAAAATAAAGAAAAAAAAAAACAAAAATCACAGTAACGAAGGTAAACAAGAGGTAAACACTTAACAGCTCTTCAAACCCTTTTGTACAGTCTGTCAGCTGTATCTACATGCATCCATGATGTCCATAAAGCTTGAGCAATACAGGACAGTCAGATTCACACCAAGACATGAAAACACGTTTAAAACGCTCAAACATTTTTTTTTTCTATTTCACAGAGAAGGCAGACATTACTACCATTTTCACAAGGGGAAAAACGCCATGAAACTCAGTTCAAACACCATTTCAAATGCCAATGAAAAAAATCTACAATACGTCACTTATTTGCATGCTGGTCATTTTCAGTTACAGTCTGCATGTACAGATGAGTGTCTTTCAGCATTTCGTCAGCTTCTGCACTAAAGACATCAAACCCTATTTTTATCCTTGTATAAAGAGAAGAAGAGACATACTTTAAGGGTACAGGAACTCCATTACCTGTCTATTACTGCGAGGGAGGCGTGCTAATCGCACTCCTGACATGTCAAATAACCTAACCTGTCGGTTGTCGTGGGGAAGGGCAATGATTCTTTGGCCAACACATACATTAATCCTGTGCAGAAGAGAAAAAAAAGGCGGGTTATGCATACAACAGTGAGCCTGGCAAACAGAACTCGACAATGCACGTTTAAGACCTCAAGAAGTGATATAGCTCAATTCCTTCTGGATAGAATCCACGCCAAAAGTAAAGTGCATTAAATTGTTAAGATAGTTCATTGTGCCAGATATTCTAACAGGCTTAACTTCTGCATCCAATATAAACGTCTCAGAAAAGCAATGCATTGTATTTATTGAAAATGAATGCTGACTAAAATCTCTAGTTTATTAAACCACTTCAGACCTTTTTCAAAATCTCATAAATCTCACTGTACAATTCTAATTGCAGTGACTAAAACTAAATTTCTCTCAATTAAGAAAATAATAATTTGAAGGTCTGCTTACCTATTTACTGCAGAATCCGTACGAATGGTAGCAATAGGAGACCTCATGTTTTTCAAATCCCAAACTTTTACAGTACGGTCATCACTACCAGAAACAACATTGTCTCCCACAGTGAAAACTGCAGATGTCACAGTGCTAAACAATTAAGAGTAAAAAAGAAAACTGTCAAGTCCTGAGGTTTGTTATTAAACTAGCAAGCGATTTAAAGTTTCTGTTCCTATGCTTCCATTAGAATGTACAGCTTGTTTTTCCCCTTCTCCTTCTGTGGAAAGTCAGTCTGGAGGCATTTCTCATATTCCATTTATCCTAATGGGACAGGAAATGCATAGCTCATTAAACCTTAATTCACTTTTGAAGTTCTGTATTAATGTGAACATCAGACACCTACAACTGAATCACTAGTACCCATTAAAAGACTTCCCCATGTGAGATTGTAACCAATGCTATTTTTAAATCCATCTAAACATGGTACTACACACAAGCACAGAGCTTCCAGAGTAACTCTGCTAGCAGCAGCTATCTCAATCTAATAATTTCAAATTCTGATTTTAATCCCTGTTTTACAAGTAGCTTAATTCTAAGTCAGATAAGACACATGGCAAGTAGTAATATCAAGAAGCATGAGCAGCCAATCCTTTAAACGTCACTCACTATGGCTACAAATGGGCAGTCAGCCAGAGAATGACTATCAAGAACCTTTCTATTAAATAGAAACACAAACTACTCCTTCCAGGAACCATATTTTATGTACTTTTATGTATATGTAATTGTTAAATATTCATTCTATTCACATACACAAAGGATTTTATTACATTTGGATTTTATACTTTCCAAGAACAGCACACTGCTGAGCTCAACTGAAAAATTCTCATGACTTCTTTTCTACATCTTTTACCTATTATTTCATAGTAAGCAATTAACACTTTTGTACTGTTTTCAGTTAAACACTACGCAGATTCTCAAATGAAAACCAATTATTTTCTGTGCTCAGAGCACACTAGCAAAGCATTTTTGGCTGCGCCTAAAATCATTAGGGAGGCTTCTCAACTCTGCTTCTACAGAACTGATTTAATGACCTATCTTGTAACTGGGGTCACGCATATCAATTTCTTAGAATTTAGTGATTTTAATTTAAGTTGTCAGTCGTTACTGTCACTTTGGTTGTTCTGCAGAAATTTGAATTCATGTCCTATCCAAACTGCTGATTGAAATTAGCATTAGCCAGGTCACAATGGACCAGTTTATGTGAGCCTCTTAATTTAAATTGACACCAAATTAAGTTTTAATTAGGATGAAGGTCCACTTTACTCATGACACCAAGCTTCCTAATGCATTATCAGAGTGCAGCTAAGCTATCAGAGAGATGCTTATAACAAGAATCAAGAGGTCTTCACCTAATCTTCTGGAATTCATGAACCAAAAGACAAAAAGCCAAAAGATACGTGAAGGCCACAGCAGATGAATCTTTCTAGAGGCACTTTTGCATTTGGGAAGATAATTCATTCACACAATCAAATTAATGCAGACTAGAGCTTGAGTGTTCTTTGCACACAACTTGATTTCCGCTTGCCTAACCTACACAAATCTTACTAATTTTCTTCATTTATTTTCTCACCAGTTCTTCACATAAGCTGCAAAAAAAAAAAAAAAAATGCTTCACACCTCCATATTGCTGCAGCACATTGAAATAAGGTTTAGAACTTTCACACTATTAAACCTGTACACTTCACACACACTGTGAGCCCTCCTTATACATGGCAGTATGAAGAATTCAAGTCATGGAAAGGCTCCACGTGAGTGAATACACACACAGTATTTTAGTATTCTGCTACCAACACACAGATATGATCTGTTTTCCCATCATACATTTTATTCCAATTATAGCTGGAATATGTTCTGAAACTGCCTTAAAATAACCCTCCAATTTTGGATGCTTTTTTCCACAACTTTAAACAGTTTTCCAGCTTCTTTGATCTCATATTGGTTCTCCTTTATCGCTTATCACTGTCAAACATAGTTAAGTCTTTTTGACCACATAAAGTTCTCTTTCTTAGATTTATCATCTTTCAAATGAAAACAGTCAAAGCCATTGCCATGCAAACAGAATGTCAGTCCTAGATTAGCTCAATCCTTCCTGCTCCTGTCAAAAGAAAATGATTTTCAAAATAAAACAAAATCTTCGTCTGTACTACTTTCAGTTTAACTATTCATACAGATGCTACTGAGCGCATCAGGAGAAAGCCTGTAAAACAGAAGAGCTGTGAAGCTCCCCCTGTAGCACTCTGATGACTGGGTAAAGGATAGAAAGGCAAAAGAAAGTCCTGGAGCTGTTGGAGCAGGTCTAGAGGAGGGCCACGAAGACTATCAGAGGGCTGGAGCACCTCAACTCCTCTGTGAGGACAGGCTGAGAGAGCTGGGGCTCTTCAGCCTGGAGAAGAGAAGGCCTGGGGGACTCATAGCAGCCTTCCAGTACCTGAAGGGGGTCTACAGGAAAGCTGGGGAGGGACTTTTGGTAACGGCATGTAGTGACAGGACGTGCGGAAATGGTTTTAAACTGGAAGAGTTTAATATCTAGTCTGATTTAGATTAGATATTAGGAAGAAATTCTTTACTGTGAGGGTGGTGAGACACTGGAACAGGTTGCCCAGAGAGGTTGTGGATGTCCACTCCATGGAAGCATTCATGGCGAGGCTGGATTGGGCTTTGAGCAACCTGGTCTGGTGGGAGGTGTCCCTGTCTATAGCAGGGGGTTGGAACTAGGTGATCTTAATGGTCCCTTCCAAACCAAACCACTCTATGATTCTATGAAAAGGAAGACTGCCTTGCATTTTTCCACGACACCTTGACAAGTGTGTTTAGTAGTCTTCATCCACTGACTACCATCCCAAAATTCATCACTGAAAGGCACTGCTGACTGGGATATGCACTGTTTGCAAGCACAAGTGACTACAGAAATAGCCTTTCTTGTTAAAAGCTCAGAAATCAAAGACTAGATGTAAAAGCCCTACTTACTGCAAAATAGCAACAAGAAAGCCTACTTCCTGAGTAGCAAGCAAAGGAAAGTCTGTGATAGGAAGAAATAAGTTGACAGAGCAGCCAATACACCAAAAACCTTTCGGTATTGCCTGACTCCACTTGCATCAAAACATTAAAAGACATCGATCTGCATTTTCACTTGGCCATTTTTACTTTCCATCATTAGTAATCTTCAGTTTGTTCTATCTAAACTTAAACCTGTGGTTAACATATCCTTGGCTACATTAATAAAAAGTGTCAACAAAAGATCATCAACCCTTGTTAAGGGAATGCTAGAAGACATTAGGTTTTTAATAAATCAAACAGATGACAGGTATCGTAGGACAGTGGGGAAAAAAAGCCTGGCAAAAAAGAAGCAGTCTTATGACACTTCAAACCATGGGTCCCAGGAGGAGTTTGGTGTGCTACAACTATTCTCCAGAAAAGCTTCAGCCTCTGCCAAACCCCAGCAAAACTCATTTATCTTGTCGTAGGGAGCAGCCGAGCGTGTACTTCCAGCTGACAGCGCGGCACTTCCTCACCACACACCACTGCCCGGCCTCGAACATTCTGCTCCCTCCGTGGGTCTCAATCAACAGAAATACTGAAGTGCTAGCACTCCTCATTAGGCCGAACAGCTGTCTCCCCAGTCATACTGAGACACAAAACTGTTTTGCATAACAATCTGCTGAAATTTCACACACAGGGAGAAAAAAAAAGTGATGTTGAAAATGTTGGACCATGAAATGCTGATGCAGAACACTTACTGGCAATGCATCCAAAAAAAAAAAAAAAAAAAAAAAAGTGAGCACTTCTGTTTCCATTTTGATTTGCAACCCATACTGGGATTTACAGTTGAATACTTGGAGAAAACATGCTTTCCTGGCAGCAGAACTAGCAGGCACATGGACTAAGTTCATGAGTGCTAACAGGCATAAGGGACTAAATTCTGGAGGAAATGAACTAAGAGAGCTTTCAGATAAATATGTACACTAAATCATAGTTAAAAAACAACATTTAAGTGTTCAAATACGGGTCTTACATTGTAAGTGGTAACATTCAGGAACTAAATCTAAAGAAAAATGTATATTCTATTAGGGGAATAAAGCGCATCCTTACACAAAGCAGCCCACAGCCTGAGGGGAAGCCAGGAACTGGGTTTAAAACCCACCCATCTATACCCATAGATGCCAGCCAAAAGGACTGCTGCCCTGGCCACGTAAATACCCTGTGAGGAACACACCAATACCTCCACATCTGAGTGCATAGTTAGGTTTTAGGAGTGCTAAAGGACCTCAATGCCCAGAAGACATAGGGAATTGTATGCTTAAGTCTATTTCTGAGTTTATCTCCCAATATGAGCAGAGCTTTTTCCTCCAACTTGAGAAAGGCTAAGAACAAGCTATGAAAAAGTAACATAGAAAAGGTGGGAGTTCAGAGACTGTTGTTAGCACTGAAATGTCATTTTCTAGCAACTAAATCAGCAACGCCTATTCCAGAGATATGTGCTTCATGATACCCAAGAGAAAACAACAAATATCTCCTTTTCTTTCTAGCTTTCTTAAAATAATAAAATGATGCAGTACTGAAAACCAATCAGTAGCTTTTATGAGAATTACTCAATGGCAAGTTAGCAAATTAGTTATGGTGTCTTTAAAATCAATTTCATTACCTTTAGGATGGAATAAAAAAGGTTCATTTATCCCTGCAGTATTGCTGCATACATTATGTAAGCTTTAGAACAACAAAACACTATACAGTGTTAGACTCCACTGAACAGGATACAAAGAAAAGGTCTTTGGCCACACTCTTATGTGGGTAAATTAAAAAAAATATATATACACACACACACAGAGCACTTTTTAGAGCATGCATTCATAAACAGAGTTTAGATTGGCTCTGGGCAGCCTTGTCTAGTGACCCTGGTGACCCTGCACATGGCAGGGGGATTGAAAGTAGATGATCATCGTGCTCATTTTCAACCCACATCTGCCCACATCTTTTTTTGAAGTGACTAAAATGCCTAACATGAAGGGCATTCAAAATTTGTATGTTACATATCCAATCCCCTAACATAAAACGTGTAATGGATTTTCTTATTTTACCTTTTAACTTCAATTCCTTACTCTTCTAGCTTAAAGAGGGCATGCCACTGGTTATACAGCAGAGAACTGGCTAAGGTAGGATCAGTCACTTCAAACTTTTAAGTAGTATTTCCTGTAGGAAAACCTCCTTGCAACTGATTTTCACCACAATCCTATGCACATTTCTTTCATAGGGCGCAGCAATTAAAAGTCATTAGCTTTTCATTATTTTCTTAAAATAAAGATGAAAAAGTATTTCAAAAACAGAAGCAGTCTAATTTTCCTCATTAAAAAGTTACAGAACCTAATATCAACTCCATAACCTCATATTTTAATGCCTTCCCCTCATAGTTTGACTATATATTATAAGTTGTAAGTTGACTACTACTAATCATTGTGCAGTAATTCAAGTCATGTTGCCTTTATATGAACATGGCAGTGACAGCCTAATGAAACAATTTTTAGGAAACAGAACAAGGCAGTACCACTAAAGTAACAGAAGAATTATGTAGTTAGTCAGAAAGGTTTGGGAGAAAGCTGAGAAAAATTCTGCACTTCCAACAGAAGCTGAACCGAAACCAACTCATGGGGAATGATTAAGAGCAGTAGAAAAAATGGGAGGTAAAGTATCACTGATGGCAGGAACAGCTAAGGTAGGAACAGGAATATCTTCAGAGGAACCAGTCTTTAAACTGGTTGAACTCCATTGAGAGCAGCAAATTGGTGACATTTTGTTTGTCATAGGAAGCCTGTAAATACTTCCTTCTCACTGCACAGATTTTAGTCAAAGATGCAGAACTTGTATGTAAAACAGCATGCAGTTACACATTCATTTCACTAAGTAAGACACATCAGAGAGAATGAGAATTAAATCTTGAGGAACAAAGAATCAGGGAAAGCCTGCTGACCTTAGCAAACCTGAGTGCCCATGAAAATAAAAGAACTATTAGTATCTAAAGAAATCCATTTTGAAATTAATTCCAAATTCACTAAATATCAGAATTCAGCCCAGCATTCTAATGAAATCAAATATTTTTACATCTTTTTAATTCAGATTTTCCAGCAATCGTAGGATTTACAAGATAAAAAGTTGAAGAGGCAAGACATATTTGCTCTTCACTAGCTTCACAGTTCTCACAATAAACAGGAAGGGGAACGGCTGTTTACGAGGGTTGATAGAGATAGGACAAGGGGCAGTGGTCTTAAGCTGACACTAGGGAGGTTTAGGTTAGATATTAGGAGGAAGTTTTTCATTCAGAGAGTGGCGACACACTGGAACAGGTTGCCCAAGGAGGCTGTGGATGCCCCATCCCTGCAGGCATTCAAGGCCAGGCTGGATGTGGCTCTGGGCAGCCTGGTCTGCTGGTTGGCGACCTGCACACAGCAAGGGGGGGGGAACTGGATGAGCATTGCGGTCCTTTTCAACCCAGGCCATTCTGTGGTTCTATGATCTAGCTGATATACTGGAGCTTTCCATTCCTCTCCTAGAACCACACAATCTTAATGAAGGAAGGAGGAATGCAGTAGTCAGGAAGTCCTACAAGCCACCACCCACTGCAGCGCAGCACTGGGGCTAGAACTAAATGATTTCTGAGGGCCTTTCCAACCCAAGCCATTCTAGCATAATTTCTGGAAGGCTCTAACCTAGGAAGTCCATTCAATTAACATGGAACAAGTGAGTGGATGGATGATGACATAAACATGAGCTTTTCCAAGGGTTCTGATAGACATCTCATAGATAGATAGGGATTAACAGTACTAGGAATAAAAGTTTGTTGTGGTGCACACACAAAATGCAGAGAAAAAGCATATTTAATTAAAAATTAGTATTATTTCCACACTAATTCATATTTTTAAACCTGTAGGAAATAACAAGTGAGGGAAACTGGAGGTGCACCAAACCTAAGATAAAATGTGACACAAGTTAGGAACTGAAACAGTCATATACAAGGAAAAGGTCAACAAAGTTTACAGATCTTCAAAAGATAACCTGAATGCCCTTTAGGGACTCAGCTGAATGCAGGCTTAAAGTACAGAAGTATTATTCAGGTACTGACTTGGCCTCTGGATTAGTAAATGCCAAAACATGTTGGAAAACATGCTTTGTTTATAAAAAACAAATAAATGAAACCTTTATCATCACCTAAATATCTATTAATACAGAATGCAAAACTCTTTCATATTAAAAAGGCAAGATAAAATCCAGTTACCAGAAATTGAAGCTAGTCCAACTAGGAAAGCACAAAAAGTTTAACAGGGAGATTAAATACTGGAATGAGCAACTTACAGGATTTACCAAGGCCTAAGTTAAAATCATTATCACTAGAAGAGCCTCATCTTCAATCGGACAAGTCCACTACAACTAATTCAAAACATCAAAAGGCATCAGTGTAAGAAGGCCAGCACAGTGGTGACAGTCACAACAGGCTCCTTCTGCCTTTGCTGAAGAATGATTTATTTTCTTGGACTGTAGCAGAACTGTGACAGCAGTAAACTACAAGAAACAGCCCACTTTTAACAGTGAACAGTTATATGCTCAAATACCAAAGTAACAGGTAATTCTTAGTCCATTTACTTTAAATACAAACAGTCCCTCATCACTGGCATACATACTTACTTTGAGAGCATATCACTGTATAGTACAAGGCAATGCACAGTAATTGTTTATCATTTTTTTAAGCCAATTAGCTTTATAAAATCATACTCAGCATGTAAGTCTCTTAGCCTCTCAACATCAGTATCATTGCATTATATCTCTAATAAATCATGTGCCATTTTGACTAAATCTTAAATCTGATTCATTACAGCTACTAAGGAAGGAATTTGAAATTACACTATCCACCTATGCCTTTAATAAGCAAACAGACACAAAGTATAAAATGGCAGTGAAAAAAAGCAAATCTCATCAGGTTTGAATCCTTGGTTTTCTGTCTAATTTCCAAAACTAAAAATTGCTCTTGGAACCAGGAATCATGTGCCTGAAGCAAAGTTTAAGAGACAGAAGTGGTAGGGTGGTCAGCTATCACCCGACTTCAGAGGCTGGAGCTCTGAGCCTCTTTTTGAGGGAAGTTTTTTGGAAGCTGTGAGCTGGAGCTATGGACACCCAGTCTGGCAGTCATGGCAGAGCTGTGGTGCCATCTGCTGACAGGTCTGCTGCCTCTGCTCACAGGCTCCACAGACACTGAAGTATTTAGTAAAAACTGTTTTTCCTCTTCAGATTCACATTTTAGTTCCAGTGCATTGAGAAGCACTCACGCCCAATGCAAGCCTTTTACAGCATCCAAGAGAGAAGCCAGCTGCAGTATCAAGTGCAGCACAAAGGAATGAAACTTCTGAACCACTGTGCATTGCTAGGATTTGATGATGGTTTGGATCTCAGATCAGTACAAAAAGGCAGGAACAATCTTAACTGTATGTGTGAAAAAAATCTGATTTTCAGAGAAAACTCCTAACTATTCTCTTTGAAACGTTACGTAGCACTACTTTGTTTTCAAGCCAGCAGCCATAGCTTATGGTGTGATATTATTTATACATTATATCTAGATAAAATTTATAATTAAAGGTGATTTAAGGTATGAGGATAGTTAGTTGATTTTTGTGTGTGTGTGTGTGTGTGTGTTAGTTATGCTCGTAGATTAGGGGTAATACAGTTGATCAGACATTTTCTCTGCTTGTCACAATACATGAAATAAATCACCACACTACAGAACATTAAGGACAGATGGGACCTCCGAGAGGTAACAGGGCAGCTTGGGTTGGAAGGAACCTTAAAGATCATCGAGTTCCAAACCCTGCTGTGGGCAGAGTCACCACCCACCAGCTCAGGCTGCCCAGGGCTGCATCCAGCCTGGCCTTAAACACCTCCAGGGATGGGGTAGCCTATTCCACTGCCTCATCACCCTCTGAATAAAGAATTTCCTCCTTGCACCTATCTAAATCTCCCTTCTTTCAGTTTAAAGCCATTCTCCCTTGTCCTATCATCTATCAGATGATGTAAATAGTCAGTCCCCCACCTGCTTGTAAGTTCTCTTTAAGTACTGAAAGGCCACAGTGAGGTATCTTGTCCAAATTAAACAAGCCCAGTTCCTTCAACCTTGCTTCACAAGAGATGAGCCCCTCTAGTCACCAGTACGGCCCTCCTCTGGACCCACTCCAACAGCTCTGTATCGCTCTGCATCTTTTTTACATTGGGAGCCCAGTATTCCAGATGCGGCCTCACAGGTGCAGAGCAGAGGGGAGCAACTACTTCTCTTGCCCTGCTGGCCACTCCTCTTGTGGTGCAGCTGAGGATACATTTGACTTTCTGGGCTGCAAGCACACGTTGCTGCCTCATGTACAGCTTTTTGTCCACAGCTCATCTGGTCTGTGAAAGCAGGTCTTACAGTGTAGGAAAGTTAACTTAGTACCTCAAAAAGAGAATATAAACAGTTTTGTTCATATTAGCAACCAAGTACATTTATAACTTGTAAAAAATAAAAATATTAAAAAGAAATTGAAGAAACTGCCACTTACTCTGTGTGGCCCTGAAAGACATTCACAGAATGGATAGAAGGATCTCTGAAATCCCACAGGCGGAAGGTTGTATCACGTGAGGATGTCACCACAAGACGCTGGGTGGGATGGGTACAACAGTGTGTTAGCTCTTGGTCATGCCCTACAATCACAGATGAGAACATATAAGGTAGTGAAAACAAGACCTTTCATTTCCACACGTGCTTGGAACGGAATGCTGATAGCCTCTTTTAAACAATCAGTAAAAGTGTACTAATTATTTTAAACTCTGATGCTGCTTGTTGATGCCAAGTTTAGAACTATACTTAAAACCAAAAAAGTGCTACTCATTTCACATGATGATTAAGAAACTGCTGCTACTTAATATGCCATAAAGACAACAGAAATACTTTGCAAGAATGAAAATTTGGCTATATTCAGTTTAAAACAACTGCTCTGTTGGCTCTATCACACGCTTGAAAGAACACAAAGTCATGCTCTGTGAATTTACAAGGTTGGAATTTTAGAAACCACTGCAACACCAAGCAGCAAGGTAAGTTGCTCACCATATTCACGCCATACTTCAGAGATACAACTTTCACAATAAGGGATCCCCATAAAAATAAACCATCAATTATACCTTTTTTGAGTGAAGAAATACCTGTAAGAGAATGGACTAATTCAGAAGTCTCTACATCATACAGGTTTGCTGTCCTATCCCATGAAGCTGTCACTGCTTGCTTCCCCCCAACAAGCCAATCAGCTGCTATGACCACTCCTTGATGACTTTTGAGTGAAGTTAACGGAGCTCTAACAGTGGGACAATCGCTAGAACCATCTCCATCTCCATCTGGTTCATCTTTATCTGAGAACTCAAATTCATCTTCTCCAGACACTTGCTATAAAATTCAAGAGGAAAAAAGAATAAAAACAAATGGAAAAGAATGCCTCTAAGGTTTTTTTTTACATTTTACAGTGTAAATGCTTCCAACTCCATGTAACATGAATGTGGGTAGTGAATTCTGCAGAACCTCGTCTATTTAAGTGCCTACTTCAAAATCATAGTTGAAGGGAAAAGACAGTTGAATTAAATGAATTTTTAATAACTTCTTCATTTTAAAATCTCTATTGAACTGTTTAAATATCTGTCCAACATATAGTCTGGCAAGCCTCTTCTGTAATTCCTCTCCCTATATTACCCATGAGTTTCATTCCCATGCATATTATCAAGAGACTTTTCCCTTTAAATTTTTAAAGGCACCGGTCTTAATCTTTGGGAAGACAACCATTTAGAGTCGTGTTTTTATCTGTTAGAATCAATATCTTGGCATTGCCTTTTGGTCTTTAAATAACGTATCCTGTATGTAAACTGGATACGAAAGAAAAGCATTGATCTTTGAACCCCACATTACTCACGCAAGACAAACGCACTCCTCTTTCACTATTTTTGGATGGGAAAAGGTAACATTTGCACTGCTCTTTCAAAATAAAAATTCCAAATCAACTCATCTGAATCAAGCATTTGCCATGCAGAAATCTATCCACGCATTTCATATCACATGGCCACCTCTTGCCCCTACTTCATTTACTGAGAAGCTCATGCTACAAACTACATCTGTCTTCACAATTCAGTAAGGCTGATTTGAAGCTGCATACAGCATTTGCCAGCCAGAAAATGTTGTCCACAGGCTTTTTATTTTTCTTCCAGTCAGCAATATCCAGACTGTGATTAATGCTGGCAAAGGTCAATTAGAAATCATATTAAATATATGGTTCAGAAAATGCCAAAGATACACACTTTATCATCAACTTTGAATTCATAGCAACTACAGTTTATTCAAATACCTCAGTGAGGTATGTGACAAAAACTTAAGAAGTTCAGAAATAATTTTATTATTATTTGTGATTATAATTAATTGTTATGAAAAACTGCACTTGCCACTTCATTTACTTATACCTTATATGCTTATTACCTTAATTGACTTTTTTTCAAGGTAGCTGGGCATTGTAGTTTCTTCAGAAACATGAAAGGAATTACTTTTTCTTTTTTTAAAGATACAGAAATATACATATTCAAATAAAACCTTAAACCCCCACCTTCTGCAATCCTGAAATCACGTAATTTTTAATTATGTATAAATGTAATGCTCAGTACTACCATAACACCCATATCCAATGAAATTGCTGTGCAATTAGTTTAGTTGCAGCAAGTTGATTGCTTACATTGCAGTCTGCAGTTGGCTGAGGTGTAGGCAACTGTACTATGTATCTCCAGATGTGAGCTGTCTGGTCTCCAGATGCTGCACAGGGAAAAGAAAGCAAAAAAAGAAATGGAGGGGGAGAGAGAAAGGGAGCACTGATTAAATTTGAGAATTTCTATGAACAATCAAAACAAGCTTTCATGTTACATATTTGGCAATACTGTTTGCATGGCATCTTTTTAACAGACACTGTTACAACCTTTTTGGTAAGCAAGTCTCAATATTAATGAAACGGTTACTTCCCTGACTTCAACACAGATGAGAACAAAACTCATGTAAAAATTTAATTAGCTACCAAAATGATCATTGCTGCAGTGAAAATATCCACTTAAATCCTACAAATCAGAACACTAATTTCACTGCTTTTCTAATAAATTGGATTTGAAGAAAGTATTTTATACATCAAGTACCATCTTTCATATGCTATTTCCCAAATATGCTGAAGTTCCTCTTCATTCAATGATTTCATCTACTAAATGTTTCTAGCCCATTTTTTATGAGAAAGCCAAAACAGCAGGAGTGAAACTATTCAGCCTTTACATTAAGCAACTCAGCTTAACTGGTACCAGTTCACAGCTCAGTAGTTGATTTCAGGATCTACTGTTTTTGAAAGAGATTTATCCATTACTAACCAAGATTTTCTTTGCTATGGACAAAACAAACATGTTTCTAATACTCAGGAGCAGCACTGAGAGTCCTACATTGAGGTGAAAAGCAGTTTGTTATGCATGTGCACAGGCTTGGCACATAAACCATAAAAAATGCGTTTAAAAAATTTCTTATGTGAAAGACCAAGAAGGGTAGAAGACAGCTCATTAACTCTGAATGATTTCTGGGACAGCAAGTCAGCTTGCATAATATTGTTTATGGTACTCCAACACTGACTACAGGTAGCATATGTAAACAGGAAAATCTAAGCAGTCACACCTCTTTAATCCTAAGCGTACTGCAGCAATTGCTGGGCTGCACAGTCCACAGCATTAAACACATGAGATCACCTGCAAACTCAAATTTGTACTGATGTTGACTCTCTGTCCTGAAAACATCCTTACACTACCATTTGTGTTTTCATTTTTTCTTGTGCATATTCAGTAACTTTTACTTTACTTCCAGAAACATTAAGTAATTCAAAAGTATTAAGATGTACGATTCCAAGTGACCAAGCACAAATGTCAGTATGGCATGATAAACATAGATAGAATGATGTAGGTCTGATTTCTTATTCCTTAAAAAATAACGATATAATCAACAGTGGTACTGACAAAGTAGAAGAGAGAGGCCCCTACAACACCAAAAAGACAGTAGGAAATGACACACTTATTTTTCCAAAATGATTAAATAGACGCTAAATGAAAAAAGCCATACCTGTAAGAGCCACTTGCTCAGTTGGATGAAACTTTATCGAGTTTACTGCAAAAAACAAAGCAGAGCTTTAAGCTAGTGTACTAAAAGAATTACTTCACAATGTTTTACCATTACAAGCATTGAGACATCAAGAAGCCTTCAGTTTTAATTGACTTTTTGTAGGATTGCAACCCCTTAGTTAAGAGAAACCATAATATTGGAGCACATAAGCCTATGCAGTATCAACAAAGCAGTCATAGAATGACTTGGGTTGGAAAGGTCCTTTGAGATTTAGTTTCAGAAAGTCAATCACAGATACCACAATATACATTTTCTAGCAAATTATTTCCTGAACCTACTACAAGTGTTTCATGTTAAAGAGGACAAACAAACTACATTCAAGCAATTGTGTGCAAGCTGATTGGAAATAATGCTCTAGATTTCCATAAGGTGAATTTAATTATTCATAACTATTCCTAACCTAATCATTAAACTTCCTCATTGTTGCTATAGACTGCAAGAACAAATGCCTAAAGATCCAATGCAAATAACAAATTAGATTTCAGTCCTGCAACTACATGTAATTGAAGCACGATTGTTTTAAAATACAACCCTGCAAGAATTCTGTCAGCCTACAAAGCTGCTCTTCATTTTTTATTTCAATGAATAAGATTTAATTACATTACTAAGCGTTTTTAATTGCTAAACCCATAAGCTTCGCTTCAACAGTTGGAGAAAGAACTTAAAAATCATTTGTGTTCATCATTTAAGTAAAATAGATGCCTATGCTCTCAGAAGAATGCTGGAATTTGCTTAGTATTGAGTTGAAAAAGATACTCATTGTTCACACTAAATCACCTCAATAGTGTAATAACTGCTGACATCCAACATTTCAACTGTCACACATAAGCAAGTGAACAAAGTTTTACTAAATGGAAGCTACATAAACTAGAATGTAACACTGTTCTTTTTTTCTTTGGTTTGAACAGTTTACACATATCTATTTAAACATAGTTTAGAGCCTTTTGTTGATTTCATCATTATCCAAGTAGCAATTGATAAAAAAAGAAAAAAAAAAAAAAATCAAGAAAAAAAAATCACCAGTGGTTGGAGTTTTTAAACCACATAGGTGGTGTTCCCTAGGGCTCAATTTCAGGACCAGTTCTCTTCAGTGTTTTTAATCAATCACCTCGACACAGCAGTTGAGTGCACGCTAAGTAAGTTTATGTATGATAATTAAGAGAAGCCACTGATTCCCTTGAGGGTTGAGAGGTCTTACAGAGATGTCTTATTAGATGGGCAACCATCAATCATATGAAAAATTTAACAAGAACAAATGCCAGATTCTGCACCTACACCAATGCAATCCTGGAAGTATATATAAACTAGGGGACAGCTGGCTCGGCTTTGGATCAGAATGAGCCAACAATGTGCCCTGTCAGCCAGAAGAGCCAACTGTATCCCAGAATGAACAGAATAGCTAACTGGTCAGAAGTAATTGTCCTTCTATATTCAGCACTGACGTGGCCTCACCTCAAGTACTGCATGCAGTTTCAGGCTTCACAATACAAGAATATAAAAATAATAGAAATGCCCTTCTTTGGATGGTGAAAGGACTTGAGGATATGACTTATGAGAAGCTGAGGTACTTGTTTGTTCATCCTGGAAGAGAACAAGGGGTGACCTCATTGCTGTCTACAATTCCCTCACGGGGCATGAGTGGAGTGGGAAGTGCCTATTATCTCTCTGTAGAGAGGCTACAGGATGAAAAGGAATTGCTTAAAGCTGTATCAGGGAAAGCTCAGATTGGGAACTGGGAAATAAACTTTTTCACCAGGAGGACCAAGAGTCAAACACTGGACCAGGCTCATTGAAGAAGTGGTGACAGACCCAAGTCTGTTGGTATTCAAGAAGCATTTAGACAACACTCTTAAGTGCATGGTTTAACTCTTCTTGTAATTGTGTCCATAAATTCCTGAATATGTTTTTGTTTATTCATTCAGAATTTACAGAACTATCTTAATACTCCTCTCTAAAAAAAAAAAAAAAAAAAAAAACATATTAGAAGATATTCCCTGTAAGAAGACTGATGGAATTTTACAATTAATTTGCTAATGGTATTGGCAAACTACGAAGTCAAACCACAGTAAACTTTTTTGCAGGTGTACAAAAGGCACTTCCCCCTCCCAAAACCACTGTTTCCAGTTTTCACAACATGCTCCCATCTTACCTGATCCAACATGCCCTACATACTTGACAAGGCACTTCCCTGTTTCTATGCTCCACAGCAAAGCAGTATGATCTATAAAGATTGAAAAGTAGTAGTAAATATTTGTTACAAACATAGTTTTCACTTTTACTTCTGATTCAATAAGCAAGTTAACTTGGACTGTAAGGCACACCAAAGGAAATAAACTTCAAATCCAGAAAAGGCTTCTTGATCATTATCTTACACATATATTTGAAAAACGTTCCTATCATTACAACTTAACACATCTCTCAGAAGAAGTAAATGGAGCCACCCCAGTCAGAATGATTTTGCATAAGTACAGAAAGGCAAATTCTATTTGTGGTATTTTTCCTAACTTGAGTATATACTTATGTATAATGTTCTGAATGAGACTAAGAAACACAAAGAGTTCAGTGATGAAAATCCCAATGAGTCACTAGGAACAAAAGTTCTATGCACAAACTATTTACTTTATGCCTAGAAGTCTCAAATGCCTGAGTCTGCCAAACACTACGAAAACTTACTTAAAAAGGACTCCAAATGTCACTACTTTATCCACCCACAACCTCAAGTGAATTATTAACACAAGTATTTTTTAACCAAGGAAAATTTTAATCCTGAATTGGAGAACGGCTGTTTCCAAGTTCAATCAGTACAAAGACAAAATGTGCCTCTCAGTGGGCATATAAAAATGGTTACAGCTCAGTTTATGGAGCAAAAAAGGTTTCTGGTCCATAGTATTTGTGTATGGTGTCTTCAATTTCTATTTCCTCTTCAAAAGACTGACAACTCAAACTGACCAACTCTAACTGATTATTATTTATTTCCTAAAATTGTTGCAAACACACAAGCCTCTAGACTCATTTTTGGATCATCACAGGTACTACTGAATAAGTCAGTAAATGTTTCCTCTCTTCAGCAGAGAGTGAGAAATCTAGTTAGATGCTTAACAACTGACAAAATAAGGTTTTTAGCTGCCTCTAGATCCTTAAGCAACAGCCCAAAGAACTTGAGTACACAAGAATATGCAAGCTATGATCCCATGTCAGCTGTTCTTATAATGCTAAGTAACACTGCTACAGAATCTTACAGGGATCTCTGAATAGAGGAGTACAGCACTGTGTACAAGACACCTCTTCAAGCAAGCAGCTCCAAGAACCTTCCTTTTACACCATCCAACAAGCTAGAGCTGGCCCTAAGGGAAGAGTGACCTGCACCAAAGCTAACTGACACATGCTTAAGAACAGCGAGGATGTTTGAATTTTCTACAGGATAAATGCATTTCAAGGAAAGTCCAATTTATTTCTGAGCTACTGAACTCCTTTAAATCAACTCTTTCAGAGTACAGTTCAGTGGTGGTATGAAGAATTCAGGTATGCTCTTGATGAACACTTGCTTTTATTCAGAGTTTAAACCAGAATTGTCCGAATGTGCAAGCAACACAAAAGCTTACCAGCAGATGCAGTTCCCAAAACCACTGGCTGAGTTTTCGCAACACTGACATCCCAAATGCCATCCCTGTGGCCAATATATTCCTTTACCAGTTGACAGATTGCTCTTGATGTTGTAGTTTTAAAACTGGATACAATCTGAAAGAGCAGAAAGATCAAGTTTTTCCCACACAGACACAAGATTAAGTAATTACTTCACAAACACAAATAGATACTAAGTTGCTCATACCCATTTTCTTACCGTTCACTACTGCTAAGAATTTGTCATTTGATGATAGAAAAGCGAGTTGCAATGCAAACATACTTGATTTCTTACAGTGCGCCCCTGTTTACATAAGGCTAAACTACTCTGTACTGTAGTAATATAACCTCACTGGAGTAATCAGTTGTACAAATGCAGTGTGAACTTCCCATCAGGTATAGGTAAGGATTATTAAAGAAAAAAAAGTCTATTCCCAAACAACTTCATCAGACAACTTAGACAGTCTGTGAAGTCGAGTGTATTGTCTTTGATAATACGCACTATTCCAATAGAATACAGAAACATTCCATTTCACAAACTCAACACCATTTTTTTTCAGAACTGCAAAAAGCTAACCACATCAAACACTAACCTGAGAACACATGCCAGGTTCTGTGTAATAACACATTTTCAAGGTTCATCAAACATTTGGATAAATCCGACAATTACATTCCCTCAATGTTAAGGGAAAATCGAGAAGATTCAAATTAGCGTGTGCATAAATCGTACTAAATTAAAGGAAGAAAAAATGTAGCAAAACTGGGAGAACTACAAGATACTGTAATAAAAGAAAACTGAAACCTCCAGACAATAAAGGTATCACATCTGCAGAAATTTTCAGGTAACAGAGGACTGTAATACTTCTAAAATAAACAAACTTTCTTGCTTTCTTGTAACATTTCCACAGACAACCAAAAGCAAGACTGCTAAAAGATTACTCAAAAAAAAAAAAAAAAAAAAAAAAAAAAGAAAAAAAGAAAAGCTAAGGTTATAAATATCCTATTATTACCCCCAAATATTTATCCCACAAATTCATAAATGTGCTTTGCAAAAGACTTTCTGAAAAGCTTTGTTAAAACAAAAACAAACAAACAAAGCAATTCTTCAGCGCTTTGCTCAGCATGCAATTATGGGAAAGTATCTATCTACATGACCTGTTGATTCAAAACCTTTGAATACTTCAACACAAACCACATCTTCAACTTCATAAAGATTAGGAAACTAATCATATACATTCCAAATACTGTAAAAGGTAAAATACAAAAAACATAAAAGGTTAAAATCCTATTCGTCTGTGGTAACAAAAAGGGTCTGAGAAATGTCATTAAAGCAAATTAAGGTTTTACAAGTTAAAGGACATCTTTAAGTCTTAAAACTAGGATATTCCAAATCCTGAGCATGACAGCTTTCCAGTGGTAAAATGACAATGCCCTGCTGGAATTTCAAATTAACTGTTAGTGCACATTCCTATTTTATATCAACAGAAGCAAAAACCATTGAGGCTGCATTGAAAGGAAAACAGGTTAATGGCAAAAATTAATAGTTCACACTACAGTTTCATAAGTTTTACTACAACCATATGGATGAAACTTTAACACTGAACGTGGTCCTTGAACTAAACTGAGTAACAGATGAGAAATGGAACAGTAGAATTAAGTAAACATTTAGGGACTAACACAGTGCTCCTCTCAGATTTCAAAATAAGTTTCTCAACTCTCAATCCTGCATTCAAACTACACTTGCACACTGCTATTCTAATTTTGAGTCAAATCCTCATGCAAAAGTTCCTGGGGAAAACCCCCTGTCCTACTAATCGACAAGTACAAACGTTTCCAAAACTGCTGCACAGTTCAATCATTACTTACTGGCAAGGCCATAATACTCCTTTTTAGTATAAGCCATTTTCTACAAACAGGAGGAGTCAGAATTTCGAGGACATACATACTTATAGACAGCTATAGATACTGATTTAATTGATAATTTCTCTACACATGAGATCTCTGGGTTTTTGTTTGTTTGTTTGTTTTTTAATTCCTACTAACTGTTCTTCACTTTGTACACCAGTTATTGGCTCAGGTGGTGTCAAGGTCATTTCTTGGTTCTTTATGTATTCATAAACATTTTTCCAAGAAAGCAAATGTTTAAATGCCATGCAACTTTCTACAAACCTGAGGAAAGTTTTTATATTATTTCAGCAGATCTCACAGTTTCGTATGCAGATAACCAGGTAATATCTGACTATGTTTCAGCTTTTTGTTAATTCCATATTTGTTAAATCCATATAACTTCACATACTGCCTTCTATACAGAGAACTTAATCCTCTGCAAGTAAACTCAGACAATTCATTTTCATTTCCCTCATCAAAATGCTAATTCTCTTTAAAGAGCTACTGCTCATGCATATGCACGCAAATGTCCTCCCCCCTCCACCATCCATTTTTTTTTAAATAAGTAGTTACTATAAAAAAAGGTAATGGTGTGATAGAAGTAATGAGAAATTGATGCATCCAAGATAAAGATACTGTTCTTCCCGAGGCAGATCTACATAAAAAACAGCACTACTTAGTTTAAAGAAACTATAATTTACCACTTAAGACAGCCATATTAGTCTCATGAGTACACACTAATGAGTAGAGATTTAATTTGTCTCATACCTTGCTAGTAGATGCCTTGTAAGTTGTCTTTAATTTCTGAGAAAGTTGACTGGTACTATGGCTGGCTGTTGAGACAAATAAATACAAAGGAAGATATTTCAAACAATATTAGCTTATTTTTATAAGTAACTCGTCAATAGATTCCGAGTTTGGACCAGCCAAGTACAAAAAATTACATTCAAAAATATGATTTAAGATTCTTTGTGGTTCTCTGACCTTTTGTTTTCAGTTGTCCTTTGCTCAGTTCAGCTCCATCGATTGTCTGTCCTTCGGCTGCTAAACGCTCATTAAGTGTATCAATCTCTCTACGTACTGACAACAAAAAATTCAAATTAATACAAAAATAGGAGTACCATTAACAAAATCATTAACATTGTAAATAAAAAGTGTTACAAGAAACATGTCTTGCACTGAGGACAGGAAAAGAGACGAACTCATAGAAGCAGTTCTCACAATGACATAAACAAAATCTTCCAGAGATCTACCTTGACCCAGATTCCAAGGAAAGCACTGTTGGCTTCTGATTAGATATTTTTACTATTAAATGTGACTAAATATTAACAAAGCAATTTCTATAAAATATATGGTCCACCTACACTGACTCAAATCCAACAGAAGGCAGAAAACTTACTAATTGTGCAGCTAGTACATTTATGGCAATGTATGTTGCTTCTTGACAAAGACTTCAGTAACCATCAAATAGTATTCTTCCCTGACCTCTTGTTTACAGTTAGAGATTCCACAAGAAAGGACCCCAAAGATACATTTTATTCTTTGAGATTCATTAAAAATCAGAAGAATAATGTATATATTTTACATTCAAGTGTTTTAGAAACATTAAGTACCATCAGATTATTTTTTGCACAAAATACAAGGTATTCATTTGAAACAAGAACGTGCTTTTCTCTCAATTACTTATAACCCTTGCCAGTGTCATTCGAGCAACAGAGCAATGGTACAGCAAGATCAGGTACTTTTAAGAGATTTCCAGATGCTTCGCTGGTTTAAATAGTCTGATTTCACTTCACAAAGAACATTCCCAGTGGCTCATAGTTATTCCCTAAAATCTGGGCTGATAACTTTAAACATCTTCCTCAGGTCAGATTTCATTGAAAGTCGTTAGCCAGGCAGTTTTCAGCTTGTTCTCAAGAAGAAGACTAGGTCTGCCTTTCCTACAAATTCTTACAACTTCCTCAAAAAGGTCATTTGTTCCCAGGCTTTGACACAAGTTCTGATCTGGGAAAACACGATCCATTAGGATCATGGTTTTTCCTAATTTCTGAAAAATGCAAAACAGAAGTCTCAGTCATAAGCACTATAAAAAGCCAGATTACACTTGCATACCACCTCCAGTTTGCTGGAAATGAGCAAAGCAGGATTTTCTTTCCTGTGTTCCTAGTAACAAACATCTAAACTTACTAAACACAACACGAAACAAAGACAAGCTTGTAGTAACAGATGACTAAAACAAATAAGTCAGGGAGATTAAAATAAACAGCTGAAAGAATTAAGGATTAATTAAGGAATTACAAGAGACTAGAAATTAGTTGTAATAAGGGAAAGAGAATACATGAATAGCCAGGAAGGAAAACCTGAGATTCTCTACTGAATGTAACTGCAACACCAGTGAAGGAGTTAGACCAAGAGCCAAAATAACTGTGAGCAACTTGGAAGTCATCCTGGGAGCTGAGAGATCACAAATGCCAGGAGTGAAAAAAACACTGTGGTGAAGGAGAAAGATGCAGAAGTAAAAGAAATGGGATTGATGGAAAATTACACTCTGAGGGTTACAGGCAAATTCACTGTTTGCTTTTCTGATGAGCTTTTGAAGCTTCATGAATGTTCTGTGTGGGGGGAAAAAAAAAATCCAAGAACAAACTTTTCTCACTTCCAGCCAACTTAGCAGGAGACTGAAAGTCAGGTGCGCAAACTTCCACTAATGTAAAAAATGGTGTAGTGTTGAAAGCATTTAACCAACACAATCTCAGCTTTTAATAGAATAAAAAAGCAGCACATTTCCAATAACAAAGCAAGAATGTTACTGTAACTTGAGTGTTTGGTTTAACAGTGAGAATAGCTAAAGTGTGGAAAAAGGTTTGACGTGGGACCAACGTAGACAGGTTTGACAATGCAGAAGCCAAGCTTCCAAAACCCAACAAGGAAAATTTAGCAGGGACTTTACTATATAGCTGCTTGTGTTACTCCAGGTTGTACATCACTTTAGATCACTTCAATATGTTACATTACACCATATTTTTTTTTGCAGATAATACTTGGAGTGTTTCACTGAGTGTTTTAACTGAGTGCTCAACTTCAAAACTCATGAGCAGCTGCAGGTGCTGGCTACACGATGCACTAACAAGCACTTTCAATCCAAGTTCAAAACAACTTTCAAATGCCTCACAGAAAAACTCAATTGATTACATTACAGCACTCAGTGCAATCTTTTCAAGTACTATATCCTAGATTGAATATCCTAGATCTGAAGTTGCTGGAAAAACTATATACTCACATTCCAAATTTTCAATATACAAATTTTCAAACTCCCGCTCTATTTGTCCAAAAAGTTCGAGGAGTGTGTTCCGAACAGAAGATGGTAGTTTAGAATCCTAGGAGGCAAAACACTGGGTTTTACGTTTAGTTACATATACATACACTAAGTTAAATATGTAACATACGTAACACATATACATATAATTAAACTTAGCATTAAATTGAAGATGTATATACATGCACCTCCAATTGCGTTCCAACCTTAAGCCCACTTTAGAAGTTTTCTACCTCCTGACAAAAAGAAAACTTAAACCTTCTTCTGCAATGTAACATAAAATAAAAAGACTGGGGGACCTTTCTGTACAATATAAGGTAACTCATGTTACTTTACTTTTTTTTTTCATGTACTCTTTTTCAAAGGACAAAACTCAAGCGCACAGATTTTCTTATTATTTTTATTTTTTACTACTGAACAATATGCAAGTAAATTCTACTAAAAGTATTCTTTTCTTCAGTTGCTGATACACTGCAACATGCAGCTGGCTTATGCAGTTATTACTTATCTAGTTAGCCAAATGTTTCAAGCAGAGTTTCTGCATAGTGAGCCTTATCCTAACAGTAAAAAGGCCCAACTACTCCTTTCTCTGAAGGCTTTCAAGGCCAGGCTGGATGTGGCTCTGGGCAGCCTGGTCTGGTGGTTGGTGACCCTGCACACAGCAGGGGGGTTGAAACTAGATGATCACTGTGGTCCCTTTCAACCCAGGCCATTCTATGACATTCTAGAACATATTCAATGACCCTTCAAGCATAACTGTCATCTCAGCATTCACCTATCAAATACATCGGGCGTGTGCACTTAGCAACATAAAAAAAAAGAAATCGTGAAAAAGAAAAAAGTTTTTAATTTCAAAGTCTTGACATCATCAGCTATAAAAAAAAAAAAAAAAAGAAGAAAAATCAGTCTGCTTCTGCCACAATGCAAATCACCACTATTAGAGGCCTTAAATTACAGAAAAACCATTACAGAACATAACATTAATACGGGACATCACCCAAATTACAGTGAACATCATTTCAAAGGAAGTTTAACGATGATTATGGTTTGTTTTGTTCTTCAGTGTTCCAGCAAAGCCAAACCAAAAAGAAATTGCTTCTGTTCTCGTAAACTGAAACACAAACAAATGCGCACGGTAGCCGTTAGAGGGCAGCAGGCATCTTTGATCAAGTCAGCACTTAAGCAACCACAACTTAACATAATACTGTAGTTCTTACGTTCAGGATGACTATCTCCAAAAAGCCAGATAGGTTATTTATGGACATGGAATTTAAGGACCAGAGCAAGAGATATCACTAATAGATGTGCACAGAGCACACCTGCTTTGAGCATGATTCAGTTTTTTTGATACTTTCAGCTTGCTACTTTCAACTCACAGAAACAGGCACAGTGCTGAAAGGAGCAATTTGTGCACCTCACAAGTTAAGCACTGTTAAGAGAAACCCTGAAGATTGAACAAATACTTCAGATTCAACTACCCACGAATTCCAGATCATAAAAGAAATTCAGTAATCCTACTAAAACTTCAGAATATAGAGAAGGTTTATAACTTCCTTCTCAGAGCCTGGAAGCATTAGCAAATCTAAACCAACATGGTTGGTTAAAGTAACCAACATGGTAAAAAGAAAAAAAAAAGAAAAAAAAAAACACACTACCCAGATCTCATGTTGTTTATAGCTCCAATGTGATTAATATTCATTAATTTTCACTAATATTAATTGTGGCATTAATATTCTCTACAAGTTAGAATTGGCCAGTGGGCTGTTCAAGGTTAAATTAATAAATTAACTGACAAAGCATTTAAAAATTCTACATATCATAGTGTAATACATTTGTAGAGTTTCATAAGAAATACCAAAATAAGTTAATATTTTTGTTTTCTACACAGATATGGTAGCAAGGGTTGATCTCTCAGCTGTCCTTTGTTCCTGAAGGAAGGCTGCAACTGCTTTCAGTTACAGGACATGAGCAGTCTGCCGTGCAGGAAAGTATTTAGATACAACTTTCGGATGACAAAACTAATATTGTAGTTAATTGAATAACAGATTCAGTAGGAAAGCCTGTCACACCAGTGAAATACAAGCTGTTCATTTCGGAGTACCAGCAGATAGCTCAGAAGAGAAAGTGAGGTTTCACACAGCAAAACAGTCTTTCAAAATAACTCTCTGATACAAATCAAGTCTTACATCATCTTTGCCAGGCCCACATTAACACTGCATATTCAGTTTGATACTAAGTAGTCTCCTGGCTGTTATTTGCTTATGTTAGCCAGCACTGCTTGAAACACTTCCTGTAGGAGTCTTCGCTACAGTTAATTTCAATACTGTAAGGTGAAGCATTAGGCTCCTGACTACATTTACTACTGAGGCTGACATGATTATAAACGTTATGGAAGTTTATGATTGTTGTTCACTTAAATTTACGTGTGCAGAAAAACCGCATCTGCAACTGAAACGAGTTCAAAAACAAAACAAAAACCTCACTGAAAAATGTAAGTTAGCTCACACCTGTCAAGCAGGCAGAAATACAGCCAAGTAGAGAGTATTTCACTCTGCAGGAAGGAAAGCCAGACTGCATACCCACCAATACCTTGCCTTTCAAAGTTGTAATCACAAATATTTCAGTTTATTCGTAGTCCTGAGTAACTACTATTCCAAATTCAAACTTGTGAAATCATGAATCAGTCTTCGACTTCGAGACGTGGGGAGATGCAGGGGGAGGCACAGCATGCTGAACAGGGTGTTTCTTTGTTAAAGGTTTTACCACTCATGTAAGAATATGTAAAAGCTAATAAAAGGTTTCATGAGCCTGGAAATGGCATCGAGCGTCCTTCAAAGATGGTCAACATTGAAAGCAAACAAGTCTGTTGTTTCTCTGGCTTTACTACATGTATTTCATCACTTATTTTTGTTTTTTTTTCCACATAGAATAAACTGTTCTTAAAAAAAAAAAAAAAAAAAAAATCCCACCCTCACTAAGGAAGTCACCTAAGCAGAGGTGTATTACTTTACCTGCCCTTCCAACATGTCTCTCTGCAGTCCTGCCCGTTCTTGCTCAGAACTGTTGGTTCTTCGGATTGAAAGACTGTGCGATTTGCGTTTCTGCTTTGCTTGGCGAGCAGATGCACAGCTTCCACTTTCTATTGGCATTACTTCAAAAAAACAGCTTCACAGAGGCTCCTACAATAAACTAAGGACAAGCATTAAACGTCACCAATTGCTCTGCCAAAGCAACTAAAGTTTAACATTCTTCCTCCAAACAAAAATATTAGGTACACTACATTTTGGAGTTGTTTGGGGTGTCGTTAAGCAGAGAGCTCCTTGTTACTTAGAGCTATTTGGCAAACAACATCAAACTCAGAAACATGTAAGTTACTATACAAACAAAGAACAGGATCATTTTCTGCACTGCTTTTGATTTAGCTAACAAACCACCACAAAAGGAAAAGAGATTTCATCGCCTTCCTGACTTTGGTGAGTCCCAGCAGCAATAGCCCCAAAACGCTTCCAGGAAACAATTATTATGCATACCATATTTCACTGAAATGCATGCAAAATTAAAACCCAGCTGGAAAATGAAAGCAAACGGACATGATAACTTAGGGACACTGTCAGGTTAGGAATGTCTAACGCAACGTTAAGCACTAGTGTACGAAATTGAGTGCATGTGCTTGTTTACATGCAGCAGAAGTTACGTCCAATGACTTTCCAACGTTTCTGACAGCTCACAGTTTCACCTTATTAGAAAGTAAAAGTGCATTTGACTTATCAGGACAGTGAAAGTGAGCCTGACTTGCGAGGCTGCTGTCTCTAGTTTTTAAACTTTGGCAGCTCGTTAATGTCAAAAATGCATTTAGTATCCTTACAACACCTGACAGTATCACTGAATGGTATTACCATGCATGATCTACTGCTTTCCCCTGCTTAAGAAAAATCAAATAGTGTTTGATTTCTTGCATAAACAAGTGGAGATGTTCTTCAGTCAAAATATTTTTTTTTTTAAAAAAAAAAAAACCATTTCTGGATTTATTTTTTTTTAAATTAAACCCAATATTCAGCAGAAATTGCTTTTAGCTTCATGAGGTACCAGCTGTTAAATGTTCCAAGGATTTTAGGAATTATTATTCAATTTTTTTTTTTAATCGTGAACATTGAGAACAAAATAAAAATTCATTCTCCAGCATAAATGATTTCCAAAACAACAATTACAACTTAAAATAACTGCAACAGTCTGCAGAGAAATAGGAGAGCAGAGTTGGCAAAGCTGACGAGGCAACTGAGCTTCCTTTCAGACAAGTTGATCAAAGAAAAATATAAACCAAACCCAGGGCCACTTCCAATTTAAGATCTGCCAACACACCAGATCTCAAGCTAGGAATGAGCACCAGCACTATGAAGAAGATCCAGCCTTAACCAGTTTAGTGAATTCAACATGGTATTTTCAACTTTTTAACGTATCGTAAAGCCAAGGAAAAGCATTGCTTACTAAAAGAATAAAAACAGCTTTAAGTTTGCCTTTGTTTCTATACCACAGCATAAAAATATATAAGGATATACAAATAAGACTAGATTTAACTAGGGGTTTTATAATCCTCACATATTCTCTATAAGTACTCTGTATTTTATTAGCTACTGGAACATCTGAATTTCAGCAACCTGACACAAATCCCACAGGGAATCTAGAACAAAAACTCAGGTTGTCCCAGTATCTTGTACTTCACTGAAAGGATTTTATTAATTTCCACTGGACTCTGCACAGTCCTCCCCCGCACCTAATCCCACGGGAGCTTTTCACATGTGATTAATCAGCAGTAACTAATTAGCTATAAATATATACAAACCCAAAAAGAAAGTAAAGAACTGCCATTAGGTAGTTCCTTATTTCACTAGGTCTCATTTTTTCCCGTGGCTACACGCCTCTATCACAGAAATACAGGGCTGAAACTTAAAAAAAAAAAAGTCAACCCTGTAATCAAGTTACTCAGTGAAGCCAGAAAACTGGCAGCATCTTCCTGTTCTTGAACATACGGCTAAGAATTAGGAACAGGCTTGCAGCACTCATCATGTTTGCATTTCTTTTCAAGCTATGACTGGACGCCAAACATGACTGAAGATTCTCCTCTTTTCTATTCTGTGTTACCTCACTTGGGAATCACTCTTTTGGTGCATTTCAGTTTAGAGGTTCCTGCAGCATGGCCCAATGCAAACTGCGTGCAGACAGATGCACCGAACAGTTATACATCTATACATACACACAGTTGCATACAATCACATAAATCAGCTTACACCACTCACTTAAATGCCAGAAAAAGAAATCTAACTTCTAGCTCCTGACAGCTACTGGCTTCTAAGCTGTGGGTATATACAGAGGCATTAATATGGTTTATATTTACTCCTTACTATGCATTGTTTTTACTGTGTCAACTTCTACTTGCCCTCTGCTGCCAAGCTACTTCATTTCAGAGCACTTCATCATGAAACACTGTTCTGGACTGCTCCGGGACACACAGATTCAGCAGCCACAGAGCAGCACACTGTGCCATGTAGAATTTAAAGGGACACGGTCAAGGAGGCAGGACGATTATTTTCACAGGGTGAAATCCTCACATGAAATACACAGGAGTTTCTACTTCCACAGTGAACAGAACAGGCCAGATACGAAGCACTCGCCGTGCTCTGCTCATGCCCCAGCATGACCACATCCATGCACCGTTTAGGAAAGCAAGCATGCACAGCTCCCTGCAGCGGGCTGCACGCAGCCAGAGCAAAGCTGCAACCGAGAGGCGACAAGCAGGCATGTGCACACAGAGACAGGAAAGAGGAACACAGGGGGTCCGGCTTAAATGTTACCACCTTTCATGTTACTCTTACTTCCACCAAAAGGCCACGTCACCTTTTAGTAAGGGAGCAGTAACGACCAGCTTATAAAAGCCAGACATAAATCTGAGTACAGAAGTCATGACGGTGTGACGGTGTCCCTTTAAACACAAACTTCTCTTTGAAATTTCAGAAATGTTTTCAACACTGACCACAACAGTAAGCAGCTGCAGATTTTCCAAGAGTTGGTTTTACAGAACAGATCCTTGGCAATACGATGCTAAAAAAAATAAATACATCAGGTGCTCATTTCTAGCAGTTACCTGATTCCCCTCATTATGTAAGGTTGTCAAACAGCGAGAATTACCTGTCCAGAATATCAGTGTCATGTTACATATCCTATGAAAACCACATTAAATATTGATTAGTGAAACAGTCAGTAGTACACAAAGTATTTCACATTTTTGAAACATGTGTAGTTAGAACACAGCAGATGATGGGAAGGGGGCAATGGAGTAGGGAACACACGTCAAGGCTGAGCAACAAATTTGAGTCGAGCAAACTAAGAAAAAAGGCATTAAAATGACCCCTCACTTATCATTAGTCACACAGTGTTAATCAGAACATTCAAATGTTACAAACGGGTTCTGAGAAGTTGCATTCATTCTCTGCCTCCCCCCTCCCCCCCCCTTATAAATAAGGCAAGCAGTATGAAATATCACCAGGAAGGATGGGAATAGCTTCCTGAATAAACGAAGCTGAATTCACAGAAGCTAAAAATAGAATACATAAAAGTGAAAAGTGCTTCCAAAAAAAATAGAAAAGGGAAAAAAGAATGGTATAACTAATGCATGTTCAGTAAAGGCACACAGGTAAAGGTAAACAAGCACCCCATTATTACAAGTGAGCTTCTAAACCATGCCGAGCATTCCTGCTCAGCCGTGCTGGAAAATGCCATGTTTGCATGGTGCTCCTCACACAGCGATCTGTCAGAGCCTCAAGAGAACAGCACCAAATGAATTTCTGACCAAGACAATCAGCAGAAGCAGGGGAGGGAAAAAAAAAAAAAAATCCCACATGTCCTAGAAAAGAATCCACAGGTGATTAGAAAAGAGACCTTAGGTGATTACTACTTCCTGAATGTGAAGACATTCAGTATTTCAATTACGCTGTTTAATTAAACTCAAATCATACTTTACAGTCTGTTAAATTAAAGTTCTGTCACCTACCTTTCCGTAACAGATGTTACCATGTATTCACAAGGAATAGTTCATTAGAGTAACAGTAAACAGCAGATGTGTGCAGCCAGTTACCAATTTATTCAGCTACAATAAAGAAATGGCACTAACAAAGATGCCTTTGGTCTTGTTGTCAATGCACACTGGTCTCACTACTCAAAAATTAATTCAGTGCAGCAATCAACCAATTCTACTTGCATGCTTCTACTTCTGAACATGGAATAAGAGCAGCAGGCTGCTGAAAGGAACTCCTGGGGTGTGGATACTGCTGAAGCCAGGAAGAAAATCTGTTTTAAGAAGTGTCAGAGCTCAGAGCAAACAGCTACAGTACTTCATTTCCTTTTTTGTTCATTCAAAACAACATACAGGTCTGGAAAGGGAAAGCATCCGGAAATTTCAGCACCATCTCTTACCCAAGATCCCCCTGCTCCATTTTGTTTAAACTTCAGCAATACCAGCACTTACTATTTAAAGGATTGTATCAAAACAATTGTACTGGATTTCTGTGTGCTCTTAAATCTCTTTCAGGTCGTTCTGTTGCAAACATGTTTCAGAACAAAATTCCAGTGCATACTAAATAAGAAACAAAGGCTTAATACAACAGAAACTGTCCTGTGCAACAAGAACACCTTAAGAAATAAAGATGCCAATTAACGTGTTGTTTTCATCCAGCAGTGAAGGAAGGGAAAGACAGAAGAACTTTTACAGTTACTAAGTTCCTAATTACATATAACTCAGTTTTGACAGCATTTCTTGTGAGTTAAGGGAATTTGAAAGTCAATCTACATACCTTCAACCTTCATTAATATGCAAAGGCGTCAAGTTTAAAAGAGTGAAACTTCCATTTTGAACAGAATCAAAGAACCTGTGGAGGTGGAAGGGACCTTTAAAGGCTACCTAGTCCAACTCCCGTGCAGTGAACAGGGACACCACAGCTACATCAGGTTGCCCAGGCCCTGATCCAGCCTGACCTTGAAAGTCTCCAGAGATGGGGCATCAACCACATCTCTGGGCAACCTGTTCCTCACCACTCTCAATGTAAAAGACTTTTTCCTTACATCTAGCCAAAATCTGCCATCTTTAAGCTTGAAACCTCTTCCCTTCTTTCCGACCCTGCTAAAGAGTCTGTCCCCTTCTTTCCCGTAGCTCCCCTTTAGATACTGACAGGCCGCTATCAGGTCACCTCAAATCCTTCTCTTCTCCAGGCTTAACAGCCCCAGCTCTCCATCTGTCCTTGCAGGGAGGTGTTCCATCCCTGGGATCACTTTTGTGGCCCTCTGGATGTGCTCCAAGAGATCTATGTCCCTCCTGTACTGAGAACTCCACATCTGGACTTCAGTGAACAATTACTTTCAAGGACACTATATATTCATATGTAGTTGGTTCAGTACAAATTCCAAGAGTACAGCACTCCCAAGAAAGTTCAGGTTAAACAGACTTCTTCGTAATACTAGACATTTTTCTAAAGATAAATTTTTGGAAACAAAAGCACTTCAGATCACCACAGATCATGCCAGAACCACTGATAAGTGCACTCAAACATTACAAAACCCAATCAAGCATTACAATGTGACTTGTTTATTCCTGAATTTAGTACTGCATGCTTTCAAACAAAACTGGGTTTTACTTGACATGTCAGTGGGGAAATCAGCCACCAGTGAAAAGGTGACAACCTCTTTCATAAAGAAAATGCAGAAATGAATTTTAATTACATTATGCAGCTGGAAGCCAGTGATAAAGACTGCAGCACATTAGCAGATATCCACTCTGAGCAAACTTCTGACACAAAACTGAAGTGTGAAGCAGTCCAGTTTTGCTGCTAGCAAGCTTTGATGCTGCCAATTCAACTATGTCAGCAAATGTTGCAATCCCATCAAAATGCATCACTGACTGAGCCTGCCAACTACCACAGCAAAAAAGCTATATCCTTCACCATATGTACTTATTCTAGCTGATATTAAACAATAACTACTATTAAAAATAGATGATTTTTTACCCAGGATATAAAAGAAACCTGGTTGGGTCCACTGATATCATCAGAGCAAAGAACTCTGAAGTAGAACTGCTGAAGTGCTGAAAGCATACAGCATTCCTCAGAGGGCTGAGTTAACCACACTCACTGAACATGCTCTTTCAATTAGCTTAAATACTACATGCAACATACCATACAATCTTTCATTAAACACTGTGAACACCTATCTACCCAAATGTATTGTGCTTTATTTTATTAATGAGTATTGATCAGCTGATTTTTCTTGGACAGTTCAATAAAGAACATCAAGTCCTGCTAAATGACTTTCTGCTAGTTCAGTCCTAAAGAGCAGCCTCCAAAAATGCTTTGTTTCCTTTCCTGTCTCGCAAACCCTTTAGCTCTCATTCCTGTATTAGCAAATCTGTAACAGCTCAGGAGCAGTCTGGCTGCATGTACAGGTATGCAAATACAAGACCCGAGGGTAAGGAATCCCAAGGAAGTTCAAGCTCAAAGGTGGTTTTACCTTAAACAAAGGTATTTGTTTAAGGAAGCACTGCAGCTCATTTAGAGGCCAGAATCTTACTGTGCTGTCTCTAAACAAACAATGATCAGGCTTTTACTACCAGTGTAGCAGATGAACTGATAGTATGTTTTCATGCAAGCAGAATGATCTCTAATACCTTCATTTAGGAATACATCAGTTGCTAATAAATTAAAATATTTTACTGCTCAGACAGCAACATAAGCAAGCAGCTCTGACATTAAGTCTAGCATACTCAGCACGCTTTCCTGAAGTGCTGATAAGCAACCTTCACACAACACACTCTCTAAGTATTTCCTCATATGGCCTACCAGATCTCTGGACAGCGTGCAACAGCACAGTGACTCCCCAGTCCTACTGCTCTGCAACACTAAGTCTCACAACCATCAGCAGGAATTACCGGATGGTGAAAATACAACAAACTCCTCTGGCTTGGAAGGAAACTCTCCCTATTCCTGGTGCTGACCCACTCACCTGCAGAGGCTGGAAGCAGCAGCATCCCAAAAAGGCCTCATAGCCTGGACTTCATCTCCCAAAACAAGCTGCAAGCCTTTGCTCCAGGGCCTACAAACTCCACAACATAATCCTACCCTCATCACAAACATACCAATAACACCACCACTTCTCCCTGTATGGTGTAGTAACTCTGGTTTGCAGTTTCTAGTTCACGCAGAAGCTTCTCATTTTCACCCCACTCACAAGATTCCTCACATGACTTACCAACGCTCTCAGGCAATTTGGTCAAGAGGCTCTGCAACTATTAAGAAGTCCTAAATTTAAGTGTAAGACAAGGTATGAGCATGTCCACATCAGACAGCCTCAGAGAAAGTTATATTTAAATGTAACATAATAGACCTAGTTTAAAGACAAGTGTTCACATAGAGAAAGCAGCATTAAAAATACAAGTGATACTGGCCTTTGCCTTGAATTCTAACATCTCATGGATGCACTTCTCAGTGAAATTGCCCCAGCCCACAACACACAAAGCTATGTTAACATTATTACAGAAAGACACGTTAGGAACGACACATGCAAGCATGAGATCTTATCAAATATAAACTATTTGTATGAAAATATATCTTTGAAATCTTGAGGTTACCAGCTTGCTTTTTAAAATATCACGGAACGAAAAATGACAACAGCAGGCTTGCCTGGAAAATTGTTTCAGAAGTTTGTTTATCGAGAAAAATACTGCTGTGATGTTCCAAACGGAGTGCCTGAACAATAGAGTGTGCATAATATCAAGGTGTATTAGTGACACTGAATCACTCCAAAGTGGTTCCACCAGTTCTTTAAGTAAATCTTCCAGGAGCTACTGTTATAGAATGCATACGTAGAAACATTGTAACGAGTCAAAATTT